CATTTCCATCTGTTGAGTGTGGTCAGCCCCGGACAAACCGGTGCTATGCATCAGTTAGACAGGTGAGCGCTCCCCGCCCCAGGCCTGTGCGGCTGACCTGTGCGGCAGGGGATGCCAGGCGCCAGCGGGTGACGCGAGCTATCGTCGGAGACTGCAACACCCGAAATAAGTTTGCCGGCTCTCTGAGCTCGTGAGCGGATCCCTTCGGATCGTTTAGTGGATCCCCACAGAGGGCGCTGACCAGTGGCGGATGTCTGCTGATCCTTTGGTGGATCCCCGCAGAGAGCGCTGACCAGTGGCGGATGTCTGCTGATCCTTTGGTGGATCCCCGCAGAGGGCGCTGACCAGTGGCGGATGTCTGCTGATCCTTTGGTGGATCCCCGCAGAGGGCGCTGACCAGTGGCGGATGTCTGCTGATCCTTTGGTGGATCCCCGGAGAGGGTGCTGACCAGTGGCGGATGTCTGCGGGTCCTTTGGTGGATCCCCGCAGAGGGTGCTGACCAGTGGCGGATCCCTGCGGACCCTTTGGTGGATCCCGGCAGAGGGTGCCAACCAGTGGCGGATCCCTGGGGGACCCTTTGGCGGATCCCCGCAGAGGGCGCAGATCAGAAGCGAATTCCTGTGGATTCTTTGGTGGATCTCCACAGAGGGCGCTGACCGGTAGCGATCCTCCGCGGTCTGCGCCTTGTCCCCACCACCGCAGCAGCATCAGCAGGGAGTCTGCCGTGCTCGCGATGCGACAGATGCCACGGGCTGTCGCGGCGGAGCTGGCCGGGCGGCGCGGGTAGACGGGGGCGCCGGCCGCAGGACCTGGCCTGGCGGCCGTCGGAGCGGCCAGAGGCGCGACCGAGCGGCCAGTGGCCGACCCGCCGCCGCCGCCGCCGCCGGCCTGCGCGCGCCGCGCCAATCAATATAACCATAGCGATGCGGAATCAATACGCGCGCTGAGCGGCGCCGCGGCCCGGCGGCGGCCGGCCGGCGGCGCCGGAGTCGGCCGGCGCGCCCCGTCCCGACCGCACGGGCCGCACGCGCCGGCGCCGCCGTCGCAGCAGCAGGTCAGTGGGCCGGCCGCCGCCGGCCGCCTGACGGCCCGACCGCGGCTCGGTGGAGGGGGCCGCGACGCCAAGGGCCGCGACGCCTGGCCCGGGGGCTGGTCACTGTCACCGCGACCGTTTTCGACTGGCGTCCGGGCGGGTTAGACGGGTTGGCGCCGCTAGATTTGGCAATCCGCCAGCGTCATCTGGCGCTACGTTTGATGACGCTGATGGGCATCTGCGAATGATTTGCCTGTGCGCTGGTATTGACCCTTGAACAACAATCCTGACTTCCTGTGCAGTTTTCACGACATTTTGTGGTGCATATATATTTGCACTGCTTCCTGCTAGATAGTGATTACTTGGGCCATGTCCGTGCGCAACATTTTCTGGCCATCCCTGTGGACCACGCTTCGTGCGGTCAACACCCCGCGCCCCCGTTGCGCGTGCAGAGCTATTGCCATGCATCGCCATGGTTGTGATCTGCATGTTGGCTCACCGTTACGCTGAGTGAGTGGGGCAGCACGCCTCTGTAGACATGTGCGAGAGCAGTTTGTAATGCGAGTGTCTTCCTCTGTCGTGCTGTGCAGCTTGTCGTCGCGTTTTAAGTGGTTCACTCGAGCTTGGGCTACGCTAGTGCCGTGTGTTGACCAGATGGGGATTCCTGTCACTCCCAGTCTTTGTGGTGTTTTACACTTCTGCGCGTGGCCCGCGCACGCACGTGCTCGTTGCTGGCACCGTTCTGCTGCAGTGTAGGCTGCGTTCCGCGGGCCCTTGGTGAAAGCCCGGCCGTGCTGGTCAGCGGTTATGTAGTGTGCTCCATCGCTGCCAGGCGGACGGGTTTCCTCTGGCGTTTGTGTCGTGCTGCATGCACTTGTTTCTAGCTGTTCGCTCGCGCCGGATTGCCGCCTGTTCAGTGTTCTGCTTGTTTGCTGTTGTCTCCGCTTGTTTTGCGTGTTCTTGACTCAAGCTACTCCCCCGGTCTTCATGATATCTGGTTAAGTGATGATGCATGCTTTGGGGGGCAGCCTTCGCAATGTGTTCGTTTGTGCTGAATTGTTTCAGTGTACATAATTTCCCTCGCTTTCCGTACGTCCGTCCTCCTATCGTTGACACCTCTCCCTCCCTTCCCTTCCCTCCCCCCCCCCCTCGTTCCCATACCTTTTACCATACATACATACCATACCATACCATACCCATACTCCTCGCTTATGCGTTACATGCATGAACTTGTATTCATATGTCTGTGCCGGTGAGAGGGGGGAGGGAGGGGTGAGATGGAGGTAGCTGCCCCCGACTCGGGGCAATATGTAACGTTAGTCGTATGGTGGTGCATAGAAAGAACCGAAGTATGGACCGTATTGGCCCCTTCCCTCCCTCCCCCCCCCTTTCACAGACGCTCTACCGCCGCTGATATGCGTCTGTGTATGCTTCCCTCTCGCTGACTTTTATCGTGAAGTTTCTCTTCCCCTCTATCTTGTCCCCTGTCATCCAGTGTTATACTCGCCCATCGCACATTCCACCGCGCTTATGGTAGCAATACGAACACTGAACGTGCTGAGCTGCAGGCATGTGCCTGATCGAGCCGTGATCTAAATCCGTTCTTCCTTGATCGAAATTCCTTCTTCCTCATGATCCCAATCTGTTTTCCCCATGATCCAAGTCTTTTCTTCCCCATAATACAAATCCTTTCTTCCCCTGGATCGAAATGATTTCTTGCTGACATCGTTATCAATGACACAAAGCCATGCCATCACGCCACGAGAACACGAGTCCACACCGTGTAACGGAGCCGGTGCGCTGCTGGGGAGCCGTCGTTCAGAGCCGTTCGTTGTGGTTCGTGTCAGCTGGCTCGAGCCGGCGATAGATCGCCCGCGGGGTTGCTGTGTGACCACTGGACCGCCGACCGTTCTCCCCTTCCTCGCACGATACTCATGTCGTATGCTCTAATTGTCGACGTGACGCGGTGCGACCCCATCCGCCGTCTCCCCCGCCGCCGCTCCCCCTCCCCGTCTCTATGACATTAGCTCCTGCAGACCCCTGATAATGACACCGCCTCCGCTTCTGACCGGCGGTCTCCTCGGAGAGGGATTCCAGCGTCTCCCGCATTGATCCTGTAGATTTATATTCCGTATTATATATATATATATATATATATATATATATATATATATAAAGTTTTGTCACGACGGTGGTCCGTGAGGACGAGGATCAGATGTTTTCGCCTTGAGAACTCAAATCTGTCACCGCACGCCGCGGTGACCTCAGTTGCTGGTCATAATCACGTTACCACCGAACATGTTTGGAAGCCCAAAGTGGCCTTGACCCTTTGACCATTGGCCTCGCTGACCGAGTTTATTCAACTTTTTGGCAAACGCCGGCCGTGGTTGCCACGCTGAGCCGAAGTGAGCACGTGTCCCGTGCCGTGCTGGCCGCGTCCCTGGCGCTCAAGGCCGGCGGCTCTCGGGCGCTGCCGGACGGTTGGTTCCGGGAAGCTCTGCTCCGTAGGCCGCGGACTGCAGGCCTGAGCTTCCCTCCCCGCCGAGAGGCCAGCGCCGCTGGTCGGGCAGTGGGCTGCAGCTCGGGCCGCACACTGCAGGCCCGAGCTTCCCTCCCCGCCGAGAAGCCAGCGCCGCTGGTCGCCGGGCTCAGGCTCTGGCTGCCCTGCCATGGGCTGCATCTCGGGCCGCTGGACAAGTGGCGCACGGCGGCGTTACACGCGCGCCCGCGCTGGCTAGCGTGCTCAGTGTTGGTCTGCCACAGCGCCGGTGTGTAGAAGGCTCACTACGGGCGTACACACGCCTCATTTATGGATGCATACATCCTTGGTGCCTGCGCTCACATGCGTGTGTGCATTTGGGTCTGTATGTTGTTTGAGCGCGTGGACATAAATTCCACAAACTCTCACTCTGTCGTAAGCATGCCGCGCAACAAGCTGTTGACACTTGCGCGCTTGCGCACGTATTTGGGTGCGCAAACGGCCACCTGCCCAGGCACCCCACGCACCCCATGTACCCCCGCATTCGGCATCCCGCGCCTCCGCCCACCCGTGCTCCCACTCGCCGGCGAGCCGAACTTCCCGCCGGCTGCTGCTCTCCGTCGCCCGCTCTCATCGCCACCCTGGCCCAATCACGCTGCCATCCGGATCACAGCGCGCCCACCCGCCCACGCACCGGCGTGTCCGGCAACCCACCCGGCGAACTACGCACCGCCCACACTCCGGCCTGCGCCCTGACCTACCCACCACCCGGCACTGGCCGGCGCAGCGGCGCGCCCACGCGGCCGGGCCTGCGCGTGCCCTCGCCGACGTCAGCGGCCGGCACGCGGCGGGCGCAGCGCGTAGTGCCGCCGTTGCGGCCGGCCCGGGCACCGCGCCGGCTGACCCGGTTCCGACTCCGGCGTCGCCGCCTTCGCTCTGTTTATTTCGGCCGCCGCCGCCGCCGCCCGGCCCCACGGGGGGCGCGCGCGGCGCCTCGTGCCGTGAGGTGACCGGCGCGAGCGGGCCGGACCGGGGCGGGCTGACCCGGGACTCGCAGGGCGCGCGCGGCGCCTCGTGCCGTGAGGTGACCGGCGCGAGCGGGCCGGACCGGGGCGGGCTGAGCCGGGACTCGCAGGGCCGCGGAGGTGGAGCCAAGGCCGCAGTGGTCACGGCCGCTGGGACCGTGCTCGAGTTGTGCGCGTGTGATGATGGATGCTGTGTTGTGCCATTGTGAACACACCTGGTGGCCGGCGAAGAAACGTGAACAAAATTCGACGTGGGGTCAGTTAAAATGAGAGGCCTCATCGGCCGCTGTATCAGTTGCAACGCCAAAGCATGCCGAACCTTGGTTGGTGCGTCCCATGTTTGCAGTGCGTGACCGTACTGCTGCGCGCGGTCGCGCTGTGCCGCCCTGTGGTGCAGCACAGCCATAGCGTTCACCAGTGCTGCGGATCACGTGGTCTAACGTCCGCTCCGTCTGCTCCCAGAGGCGTGCTCCAGCAGCTGTTGGCGAGGAGCGAGGAGGATCCAGTCGGCGCGGCTGGTGCGTCACGAGGTGGGTCATGTGCGCGCCGCTGGCCGCCGCCGCCCTGGCCCGTCCGACGGCCGCCAGTGTGTTGTGCATCGCACGCGTGCACGCGGCCGGGGCGCCGGCGTGCTCGCCGTGTTTGCGGGGCCGGGGGGGGAGGGGGGGGGGGGGGTCGGCCGGTCCGGCGACCTTGCGGACAGCGGCGCCCTCGGCGGGGCCGCCGCTAGGATGCCGGATGACGGGGGCGGTCTGTACGGAGCCGGGCTCGGGAGCGGGGCGCCGCCGCCCGGCGACCGCCCGGTCTGGCATGCAGCGGCGCCGGCCCAGCGGAAGAGCATTGCCGGCGTTGGTGGTGCTGAGGAGATTTTAACAGAACACCCGAAGGAGTGCACGTGACAGAAGCCTCGTGCATTTTGCGCCATCTTGTCACGATGAGTTGTCCCTGCCTCGTAAGCAGCTACTAGAGGACTTTTTTATCTCCGTCAAGGCACATGCTTTTCTGGCTGTTAGTTCACCGCCCCTGAATTTTCGTTCGCTTCCGCCCGAAGTGGAAAACGAGGAGCGCTGACGGGCTGTGACTGCGCTGAACTTCTCGGAAATTCTGTCGGAAAAGACAATCATGTACAGTGCTCTCATTCAACCGAGGCAGATATTTGATGATGACCCCCGAGTAGTGCATCATCGGCTCAATAGATGTCTCTCGCAGCTGCGCCGTGACGTAGACCAATTCCAGCTGTGCCCTGTTTGAATAAGGTCGCCGAGGCCGCGGATTTTATTTGTTTTTATTATTATTTGCGGATTTTATTTACCCGCAACAATGCTGAAGTCTGAGATTAGGTGGCGACCAAGGCAAAACAAACGACCGAACTGAACGCCGCCCCAGTCCGTCTGCGACTGTTGTCTGAGTCAGCCGTCCCAGCCGCGCGCGGCAGCTGCCTGGTGCCGTCGTAGCGTGGCCGAAGCGATGGGGAGTGGTTGGCACCCGCATTACTTGGCGCCGGTCCTGTGTATGGACGGTAGCGTGGCTTTGTATATTTTGTCGCGCTACTCTCGCAGGACTAAATCCGTCCGAGAGGTTTCCTCCTGAATCTGGCTGGTGAAACCGGGCCGCGAGCTGGCTGAAATACCCGTCCTCTGGCAGAGGATGGCGTGACTGATGCATTGATTCAGGTGGACGGGCTAGATTTCTGGACCAGACTAACTGTAGACGGTCTGTTGGAACCGAAAACAAATAGAAAAGCTGCATGTTACAAATGGTGGTCTCATTGGTCCGAATATGCTGGCAGCGAAGAAGAAATAGGAAAGCGATGTCACGACATAATTGATCAAATTTCAACAGAAGTTTGAATTTCGATCGTCGACCATCTTCGACAGGCAACACATGTCCGCGCGCGGCCAGCGAGGCGCGTGTGCCCCAATGACGTCACTGCACTTGTTCTTGCCCGTTCCGCTCATAACCGAACGTGAAACCTTCGAAAGCGCCCGGAAATGAAAGCTGAACAGCACAAAAAAACAACAGTGTGGTAAGACCAAGAGCCCCGGAAGTCTCAGTGTTGGCACAGAGCTGTCTGACTTGGGAGGATGGATGACGCGTGCTTTGAGCTGATTACAGTTCAGGAGCATCAGAGGCCTTTCCTTGATGCCTGCAAGTCAGGCACAGCCAGATGTGGCTGTTGTTCCAGATTGACGGCATTGGTATGTCGCTGGGGAGAAACGGCAGATCACAGCTGAAATATGTCAGGTGTCAGTCACATCAGCCTTTTGATCCTCTATTCAAAGTGCTGTCATAACCCACATTGCTGGGCTGGTCGTGCTCTGTCGTTTTCCGTGTTGATACCGCCAAGGTTAGCCTGCGTCTCGGTTGTCCGGTTTTGGTAGCAAAACGAGACGCTACATGTCCCAAGACGGAATGACAGCGGTGTGCCGTCGCCTCTGTGTGCGCCGGCTGACGCAGCCGGGGGTTGTTTCTGATGACGTCACAGTCCTGTCAGCCACTGATTGACCTGGGTTCGAGTGTACTGGCCAGTCCTGCCCTAGCAAGATGCCCTCTCACCCCGGATGGTTCGAGTGTACTGGCCAGTCCTGCCCTGGCAAGATGCCCTCTCACCCCGGATGGTTCGAGTGTACTGGCCAGTCCTGCCCTAGCAAGATGCCCTCTCACCCCGGATGGTTCGAGTGTACTGGCCAGTCCTGCCCTGGCAAGATGCCCTCTCACCCCGGATGGTTCGAGTGTACTGGCCAGTCCTGCCCTGGCAAGATGCCCTCTCACCCCGGATGGTTCGAGTGTACTGGCCAGTCCTGCCCTGGCAAGATGCCCTCTCACCCCGGATGGTTCGAGTGTACTGGCCAGTCCTGCCCTGGCAAGATGCCCTCTCACCCCGGATGGTTCGAGTGTACTGGCCAGTCCTGCCCTGGCAAGATGCCCTCTCACCCCTCCCGGCCGAGGAATGTCGTGTGCGTTCGCGGCTGGTTGAACTGCGTTGTCCGTTGCAAGCTCATGGTATGGGGTGAGTATTGCGGCTTTGGAAGTTCATTCCAGCCTCCCAGCGCCTGCCGGCCGTGGCAGTGCGCTGCGCATGGTCCGTAACGCTCCGCGGCAGCGGCTTCTCTCCGCTGGCGACCTGGCGTCGGCCGGCCCGGGACACCGACCGCCGCAGCTGGCCGGCCGCGGGCGGGTGAGCCGCCGGCCGTGCGCACCTCGGCACGTGACCTTGTCCCCGTCGGCCTGCAACGCTGCAGCGCGACGCGGCGGCGGCAGGGCGCGCGCGCGCGGCGCCGCCTATTTCGGGCTGGCCGACGGTCAGCGGACGGCGCGTGCGTATCGCCGGCCCGCTGCCGGCCGACGTGCCCCCGTTTCAGCCGGCGGCGCGAGTGGCGCCGCCCCGCGGCGGGCCGTGTCGAGAGCCCCGGGGTGGCGCGCCGGCTACGCGGCCGCCCCCGCGCAACAAGTGGTGCGGGTCCTGGTCTGAGAGGACCGGGGCCGGCGGTCGGGAGGGGGGGGGGGGCGGCGGTGTGCCGTCTGATGAGGGTTCTGGGTGCCTCCTTGGGTTGTGGGTGGTTTGAGAGAGGACCGGGGCCGGCGGTCGATGGGGGACCGCGGCGGTGCGCCGTCTGGTGAGGGTTGTGGGTGCCTCCTTGGTTTGTGGGTGGTCTGGGGGAGGACCGGGGGCCGGTGGTCGAGGGGGACCGCGGCGGTATGCCTTCTGGTGAGGGTTGTGGGTGCGGTGTCGTCGTTTGGCTGGCGGATGTCGAGTCGCCGATGTGTGGCTCCCACCGTGTTTGTTGCAGTGTCGTCGTTTGGCTGGCGGATGCCGAGTCGCCGATGTGTGGCTCCGACCGTGTTTGTTGCGGTGGCGTCGTTTGGCTGGCGGATGTCGAGTCGCCGATGTGTGGCTCCGACCGTGTTTGTTGCGGTGGCGTCGTTTGGCTGGCAGATGTCGAGTCGCCGATCTGTGGCTCCGACCGTGTTTGTTGCGGTGACGTCGTTTGGCTGGCGGATGCCGAGTCGCCGATCTGTGGCTCCGACCGTGTTTGTTGCGGTGGCGTCGTTTGGCTGGCGGATGCCGAGTCGCCGATCTGTGGCTCCGACCGTGTTTGTTGCGGTGCCGTCGTTTGGCTGGCGGGTGTCGAGTCGCCGATGTGTGGCTCCGACCGTGTTTGTTGCGGTGGCGGGGGTTGGCTCGCTCGCCGCTGGTGGCGAGCGAGTCACTGGCGTTGGCTGTCCACCCCAGGTCGGGTGTGGCGCGTGGGCTGGGGGATCGCGAGGGGTTTCAGGTGCGGCGTGATCACGCCCGCCGGAGCGCTGTGAATTGGCTGGCAGGTGCCCACCGCTCCACTGCAATGGAACCGGTATGGAATAAGGTGGAGTGGATCGGAGTGGACTGTCGTGGAGTGTGTGTATGGAGTGGGTCCAGTGCACTGGACCCGTCCCTGCCGAGGACTGTGGGGCTGACGGGGTTTGGCGTCGTCCGGGGCAGACCGTTTTTAGGTCAGGGCCACCCGTGCGGGCCATGTCAATACCTGTGAGTCAACGTCGCCCCGCGCTTCCGTGTTGTTGGTTTGCTGCAAATTGTTAGGCGTAGTGTCCCACGGGCGACCCGTATCCATTATTAACGGTGACGGCGAAGGACTACGCCGTTTGTTAGCAAACTCGCGACGTTGGAAGCGCATTGTCGGATGCGTTCCGGGGCGCGTTTGCGGACTGCGAGTGGCGTGAGAGGCGGTGACGTCATGGGCGGAAGCAGACCTGCTGGGGCCGCACAGTGAACAGAAACGTCAACCGATGAGGCTGCTCGGTGTGTTGGTCTATGAACGGCTCATTGCGCTTGTGCCCACGTGGAAGCGCGTTTATACGGTATCCGACAGTGATGTTCTTTCCACTTTGAACACTGGGCAACTTTTGCAAAAAGGCCCTCAAGTGACAGGATTTGCTTATCGCATTAGCTGCCCCTCGAGTAGTATGGAAGCCTCCGTGCGTTCTTTATGCGTCTGTTGTTTAGAAGTTGGAACCCTGTTGCACTCGCGTTCGATAGTTTGCTTCTTATGATAGATAGTTTGTTCGATAGGCCGGCATGTGAATGAAGAAATCGCTGCCGGGTTAGCCTGGTCGACGGGACCATCGTCGCCTCGCCTCGCTTGCCTCGCCTCGCCTGCCTCGCCTCGCCTGCCTCGCCTCGCCTCGCCTGCCCCGCCTCGCCTGCCCCGTCTCGTCTCGCGTCGTCTCGCCTCGCCAACTCGCCGGCGCGCTCGGCGTGATGACGTCACCAGGCTGCTCGAGACTCGGCTTCGCCGCGGCCGGAAGCCGTAGTCGGCTGCGGGGTCCGTAACGAAGCTGGCATTGGTGGCCGCATCGGAAGCCGCAGTCACAGGCGCCAGCGCCGTAAAGACGCTGACGCAGGTGTCAAGACGAGTGCGCCAGGAGGGCGTGACCGGCGGCGATGCGTTCCAAGGGGTGGTAGGCGCTACGGGCTTCTGCCATTCCCGTGGTCATGAGCAGCTGCCGACCCAGACTGCGACGCCAGCTGGGA